CGAGCATAGAAAGCATGTAACAGTTGTGGAGTACTGCGCTCATCTCTAAAGGCTCCCCTCAAGTATGCAAACAGGTCACTGGGTTGCTTAGCCTGCCCCCCCCATACACAGTTTGACCTCTTCCAGGGCTGAACCCTTTAACTGTGAGAGGACAAAGTCTACTTGCTCCTCACTACGCATGCCCCTCGCTCTCATCACATGCTCCACCTCCTCTATGAACTCGTCTACAGTGTGAACATCTTTCCCTGGTTCACCACTAAATGGTGGAATGTGTTTTTCTCTTGGAATATAAACAATGGACCTTGTTTGAGCATTACCCAGGTCAGCAATACTTGTCATTACTGCATCATGTTTTCTACTCAGCTCCATCATCTGTGCTTGCAGCTGCACTAAGGGGTTCCCTCCTTCACATGACGCTGAAGCAGCTGGGTTGTTGTCGTTATGGCCAGCTCCTGCAGCAGCCGCGTCCCAGTCCACGGCCAGCATTGTGATCTCTCTCTCTCTCTCTCTCAATCTATGTCCGTGAGATTACACAGTCACGTAACACAGTCACCACCGCTGCGATGGCTCTCTGTCCAAAAGTCTAAAGGAGAGCGATGTCAGGCGGTCCCCTCCTCCAGCAGTCCACGGTGACGATACGGATGCCCCTCTCGTCCTGAGACACCAGCTGCTGACCTCCCACAGCTGCTCCAGGACTTCCACACGGCAGTTGTCACACTGTCTGGCACTGGGACTTCTTTGCCACTACTGTTGTCTAGATACTCACTCTATAGATATTTACTGTCCCTGCCCAACCTAAAGCCTCAAAATTAAACAGGGATCCCACTTCTGACACCAATTATGTAGCCTGGTCATAAAATGAGGAGACCTGACACAGAAACTACTTTTTGAGGGTCTTTTACTACCCGACTGCCAGAACTCAGCAGCTTTAATTTATTTTATTTTGAGACAACAGACAAAACAAAAAGAATAGCTTTAGGCTTGCTTTTCTAGAATAAAGCAAATATGTCTCACCACACTTTCCCTTACAAGAGCTTAATGCTGTCTCTTAACTCTAAACAGTATTGGCAACAGTGTCAGCATCATCGAAAAGTGCTATCAAGGCAACAATGGTATCCAAAGACAACAGTAGTGGCTCAGTCCTGAGTAAAAGAAAATTAAAAAAATAAACACAAATAAATACACTTCTTGAGCCACATAACACACAGTCACTTTACATGAAAAAGTATTAATTCACAGCCAATGTACGTTCATGAACAACTGGAATATTTTTTAAATTGTTCAAATCATGAAATCAAACTCACTCTCTCACTCTGGTGTGCTGCTTGCGCGCCAAACACACCCGGAAGCAAATCACGGCTTTCTTCTGTGCCTTTTCTCCCCTCTAATTCGGTCAGGAACATACACAATATACAATCGGTTGAAATAATCAGCATACTATGACATGACCTCATCTACCATATATGTGTACATTAATAGCACTCAAGCTGTCCAGCTGTTCGGTTTTCACTCAGCGCAGTGGGGTTCACACACATTTAGGACACATTCAACAGACCTACAGACATCGGCAAAAATACAAGATCATCCCCTGTCAGTTTTAGCTTGCAGCATAGTTACACTCTCATCTATAGGCACCAGTGACTATTTATGTATCTTAGCAGTGTTTACCTGGATATTTCCTTATAAAAGTGCAGGAACACACACTCCAAACTACTGGTAACCTCCCGACTTCCTTGTTTCTAAAGTCCCGCGACAGCTAGGCATAGTGCGGGATCTGCCAGGAAGAAGCTCTTAAAGCGACAGCGTCGCCTCAGCAAAGTAACCAGTTTCCAACATATGAAATGATGTGACAGATAACATAGTATGAAAACAAAAATAAATACTCACTATAATACTAATCCTCCAGGCAAATCATGTGTGCGTATCAGTTATACTACTGGGGCAGCTCAGAAACACTGTCTGCCTCTAGTTCACCTGGCTACATATAAAACTTATTTTAATTTAACTTCATTTCATTTAACTCCATTATACCTCATCGTAGTGCGTGATGGTATATACAACAGTCCTCGCAGAAGCTGATGTATGAAGTCACAGCCTCTGTGTACTCATCCACTTCTTAGATGACCTCACAACAGGTTTACAGAGCTTTTAACTTCTGCCTGTATGAGGGAATCAGGTGGACGGTGTTGTGGTCAGAGTGGCGTGATAGGCGTTGTTAACAGTTGTGTAACAGTGATCCAGGATATTCTTCTCTCTTACACATTTTATAAACTGTTATTTGGGGAGTTCATGGGCGAGGTTACCTTTGTTAAAGTCGCCAAGGACAATAACTAAGGAGTCCGCTCCACACACAGTAGCCTATCTGGTCGGCGAGCGTGCGCTGTAGCCTACCTCCTGCACGTTGGCCTGCAGTGGGATGTAAACACTGACCAGAATGAATGAAGAAATCTCACGGGGGGAGTAAAAAGGTTTGCAGTTGATGAAAAAAAGATTCCAGATCAGGAGAGCAGTGCTGCTGGATCACTGTCACGTCATTACACCAGCCACTGTTAGTGTAAAAACAGATACCTCCACCTTTGCCGGAGAGTTCCGTGTTACGATCCGCTCAAGAGTTGGAAGCCTGCCAGCTGCAGCGCAGAGTCCGGTATCGATCCACACAGCCACGTCTCCGTGAAGCACAAAACTGCAGATGTAGAAAAGTATCAGTTTTTCACCATCAGTAGCTGAAGTTCATCCAGTTTACTGGCCAGCGAACGCACGTTGGAGAGAAATATACCTGCATGGCAGCGGTGTGCGGTGTCCGATTTGGCGGAGACGCACAAGCGCACCAGCACGTTTCCCCCTCCTCCAGTGTTTGATTGCAGGAGCAAAGGTGAGAGCACCTTTGGCCAAAAAGCCCAATAAATCCACTTAAGGCTCGAGAAAAGTGGGATAAAAATCCGCTGGAGTTGTTCCCCTGACAAAAAAAGCCTTACAGTGTCACTGGCCCGGGCGGCCTGTGGCCTGTCAGTCAACTTGCCCGACATACTTTTTGATTGGCCCCGGGCCATCGGGCCATGGGCTATGTCGAACCCTGGTTTGATAATACTGTTGAACATAAACAGAAGTCAAGTGTTTTTGTTGCCATATGCGGAGCCTGGGCTGCCTACAGAGACCGGAATTTTTTACAGCATATTCAGAGGACATGTAGCTAGCGGATTGTGAGGAGATGTTTGCTGTATGTGACAAAAACTTTTCAAGTTTAGGAAGCCTTAAGTATAATAATTACCAGAGATTTTAGTCCCGTCCGAATGTGCCATGTCAGTAATCATTACCGCACGATGTCAGTAAAGATTACCGCGACTTTTACCTTCTGTAAAAGGGTCCCGGACAATTACCTCAGGTAATACTAATCCCGTGCGAATAGACCAGCAGTAAATAGCCTATGTGTGTTAGGGCTGTCAAAAAAAAAAAAAAAAAATCAAAGTTAGAAATATATTCGAATATAGCCTAGTATATATTTTTTATAAGTTCGAACCTAAATTTGATAATTCGAATATCATTAATAATTAATTAATACTATCAATAATGTTGTAGGCTATATCACGGCGAATCCCGTTCGGGCAGAGATGGCTCGCGCACAAGCCGGGCCAGAGAGGGACACAGCGACGGAGGGAGAGGCGCCGACGGAGGAGCCCGCTGCAATAACACCCACTGCGCTGTCAGCGATGTGTAACCTGTTGGGGGAGACATACAGGGAGAGTGTTGCACCTGCTGTCTCCCTGCCTACCCTTTTTGAAGAAGAGATGAAACGTTACCAGAATGAGACACCTCCACGAGCCGACAGGGATCCACTCTTGTGGTGGAAAACTACGCACTGAAGTATCCAAACATTGCTCAGCGAGGCAGAAGTTGATCATACCTGGCACTTCAGTGAGGTTAGAACGGGTGTTTTCATCCGAGGGTCACGTTCATATTGTGTCAGCAATAAGCATCTTATTTTTTGTGTTGTTTTTTTTTTTGTAAAAAAACAAAACAAATAATAATAATAATAGCTAATAATAATAATAAATTCTAATATTATTCGAACTCTACTAAATTAATTCGAAAATATTCGAACTCAATTTCATGGTGCTTTTGACAGCCCTATCATACGCTCATGATGGCAGGAGGGGGCGGCGGTGCGTGAATGGATTTACCCCTCCCACTTGTAGTAGTTTTACTGATATTTCTTATCCCGTGCGAATCGGCCATTAATATTACTGACGTCCTGTGGTAAAGTGACATTACCCCACGTGCCCATGTAAAACGAATCCCGTCCGAATAGTGCTTAGAGAGCCTTTAAATGGGCTAGGACCAAGGTACATTGCTAACTTCCTTGTTAACTATTTGCCTCTGAGAACACTGTGATCATCTGCTGCTGGTTCATTGGAGGTTACCAGTAACAGCTGGAAGAAGTTCGGGGATGCAGCTTTTGTCAAATACATCCCAAAGCTATGGAACACACTACCTATAGATATCAGGGAAGCTACCTCTCTTAAATATTTTTTAAAAGAAAACAACAATGTATCTGTTCACTTTAGCCTTTAACTACCTCTGACTTTCCTCATACAGACTTTGTGCTGCATGTCTTGAAAGGTGCTAAATAGCCTATATAACTAATTATAAATAATAATAATAATAATAATAATAATAATAATAACAATAAAAAGATGCCTGGTATGGGTATGTGCTGTCATGTAATAGTACGTGTTTGTATTTAATTTATGTTTAGTTTGTACAATAAAATGAAAAAAATAAATAAATAAATAAAAAGTGATTCTACTAGGAGAGACATCGAGGAATGTACGTAAGCGTTTATTAAATTATTTAGGAGAAACAGGAATAGCCTCCTATTTTTTTTGTTGATTTGTTTTCTGCCAATCTACCGCTCCATGCTCCACTCCAGTAGGTGGCGGTGATCCATCTGAAAGCTGGTTCGCTAACCGCCATTAAATTCAGGAAAGAAAAGAAAAAGAAAAAGAACAAGACCATCGTCATTAACAATAACAAGAGCAGCACGGCTCTGCGCTTATCAGGGGTGACGCTAGCCTACTGTCTGATTTACTATTTGACTTCCTCTTCCTTCGGACTGTCACCTTAATCAGCCAGCTGTTAGTCTGACTGCCTCTTTTTGTTGGCCTGTAGGCTTTTTAAAACATTTTTTGGAACAGTATTTTAATGCCCGCCGCTGTGTGTCGACATTTGATTGTTTTTTTGTTTTGTTTTTTAGTATTTTAAGTGCTGTTTGTTGTGACATTTCGCTGACACAGCAAGCATGAGATGAGCTGAAGACACCAGGAAGGACAACTTCACTGCACACTCCGGTACGGACTTTAACTTCTGTCTGTGTTAATGTTAACTGCTCAGATGACAGCAGGATTCACAGTTTACACTGTTAAAGTTCTGACCTCAGTTGACCTGAATCGGTTAGGTAACCTAGTTTAGGTAAAATTGGGAACTAAGGAAACAGAAAGTCGCCATCCGGTAAGAACAACCTACCAAACTTTACTTTAGTTTCCTGAATCCCTGCAGACTCAGCACTTAATATCTCCACAGAAATCCTGCTTCACACTCAGTTTCACGTGAACGTCCCCTCTGTACAGCAAGAGTAGACTGTATGGAGTCAGATTTGTCTCAGTAGTATTTGTGTGAACTGATCGACAACTGTGTGTTTATGTGTAACCTGTAGGCCTACATTTAAAACACTTTCCATAAATCCAACAAAAGATTTTGTAAATTCTAAAAACTATTTTTCTAATATCAAACAGATCTGCATATACTCAAATATGGAAATAGATTTGTCTCAAGAATCATTTGTATGATAATATTTACGATAGGGATGGGGCCGATCCGATCCAGTATCGGTATCGGGTTCCGATACCAACGTAATTCATGGATCAGAAATTTCCGATCCATGAGCCGTGTCTGTGCTTTCATGTTGTCTGCTGGAATGATATGATGATTGCTACATAGTAGTGTTGCACTGACCGAGGTACTAAACACGACGGTACATGTGATACCATAATGTTGAAGTACTGTAGTACTACGGTACCTCAGGTACCACTACTGTGGGATAAGATCAAAGTCCAATTGCAAGAGTGTGAGTGTCCATGCAGCATCTAATAATGGTGCGCGCTGTCCACCTGGCACTCAATATGCCGCTGCAGTGGTTTGTATCCAGTGACATTTCAGGTATGAACTGAGCTATTGAGTATCTTTAAGCAATGAAAGTTATTATTAATTTATTTTTACGTGTAGGTTTGATTTGTTTATATATGCTACAGTGATTTGTTTTCCACTACAGAGCTCTACGGTGCGAGCATTTTACTCGCATTTGCGACTAAAAATAGTTTTGTGCGCACAAAATAAATCATTCAGCACGGAGTACAGATTTCAACCAGCAGCAGAAACTAAAGGCAAATCCTGCCAGTTGTGGGTTGAACGGGGGTCACAGACACAAATGGGAATGTATTCCTGTCAAATACAGCAGAGGCTCATAGTGCTGCGCGGCACAAGAACGGCTTACCGGCGACAGAGAAGTCCGACTCCAGGTCCAATAATGTCCTCTTCTTGGCGTCATGACTGCCCAAAAGTACCTGAACAGCCGAACTGTGGTGGCACACAGGTATGTGGCGTGTCAGAGGAGAAACAAGCCGTTCACATTTCTCTGGCAGGTAATGGCCCACAAACCTCACCGCACTTTAGGGACTGTTCGTTACTTATGAAGGGACTGTCAGGGGAGGAGGGTGGCTGGTTGATTTTTATTTCATTTATTTCCTATTTTGTTTTGATCCCCCCCTCTGTTAAAGGTAGGGTCTGGAGGATTTTCCAGTTGCTGTTTGTAAACACACATTAAAATTTGGCCCCTCCTATCAGGCTCAACTCTCCCGGGTGTACGGAAAAAGGCTTCACAGAAGAGGTTAAGGCAAGGCTCGCGATGGTGCATGCTCAGACACGCTCGGACACACTCGGGCACAGCACCTGCACTCTCTCATTGGCTGGGGAAATCTCCGCCCAGAAGCGGTCCGAGCTCACAAAAACATCAAAATACAGTTAAAAGGCAGGAGCTCTGCAAACAGAGTCACCACCACACATGAGTAGAAGCCCATAGGTGATGATTAAGCAGGATTTCATTTGTATATGTCTATATTTTGTTTTGTTTGAAAATCCTCCAGATCCAACCCTTAATCACTTATTGACGCCATTTTTGAAGTATGAATAAGTCAATACGTAATTTATTCCATTGAAATATCATTTACAGTACAGGCCAAAAGTTTGGACACACCTTCTCATTCAATGAGTTTTCTTTATTTTCATGACTATTTACATTGTAGATTCTCACTGAAGGCATCAAAACTATGAATGAACACATGTGGAGTTATGTACTTAACAAAAAAAGGTGAAATAACTGAAAACATGTTTTATATTCTAGTTTCTTCAAAATAGCCACCCTTTGCTCTGATTACTGCTTTGCAAACTCTTGGCATTCTCTCCATGAGCTTCAAGAGGTAGTCACCTGAAATGGTTTTCCAACAGTCTTGAAGGAGTTCCCAGAGGTGTTTAGCACTTGTTGGCCCCTTTGCCTTCACTCTGCGGTCCAGCTCACCCCAAACCATCTCGATTGGGTTCAGGTCCGGTGACTGTGGAGGCCAGGTCATCTGCCGCAGCACTCCATCACTCTCCTTCTTGGTCAAATAGCCCTTACACAGCCTGGAGGTGTGTTTGGGGTCATTGTCCTGTTGAAAAATAAATGATCATCCAACTAAACGCAAACCGGATGGGATGGCATGTCGCTGCAGGATGCTGTGGTAGCCATGCTGGTTCAGTGTGCCTTCAATTTTGAATAAATCCCCAACAGTGTCACCAGCAAAACACCCCCACACCATCACACCTCCTCCTCCATGCTTCACAGTGGGAACCAGGCATGTGGAATCCATCCGTTCACCTTTTCTGCGTCTCACAAAGACACGGCGGTTGGAACCAAAGATCTCAAATTTGGACTCATCAGACCAAAGCACAGATTTCCACTGGTCTAATGTCCATTCCTTGTGTTTCTTGGCCCAAACAAATCTCTTCTGCTTGTTGCCTCTCCTTAGCAGTGGTTTCCTAGCAGCTATTTGACCATGAAGGCCTGATTAGCGCAGTCTCCTCTTAACAGTTGTTCTAGAGATGGGTCTGCTGCTAGAACTCTGTGTGGCATTCATCTGGTCTCTGATCTGAGCTGCTGTTAACTTGCGATTTCTGAGGCTGGTGACTGGGATGAACTTATCCTCAGAAGCAGAGGTGACTCTTGGTCTTCCTTTCCTGGGTCGGTCCTCATGTGTGCCAGTTTCGTTGTAGCGCTTGATGGTTTTTGCGACTCCACTTGGGGACACATTTAAAGTTTTTGCAATTTTCCGGACTGACTGACCTTCATTTCTTAAAGTAATGATGGCCACTCGTTTTTCTTTAGTTAGCTGATTGGTTCTTGCCATAATATGAATTTTAACAGTTGTCCAACAGGGCTGTCGGCTGTGTATTAACCTGACTTCTGCACAACACAACTGATGGTCCCAACCCCATTGATAAAGCAAGAAATTCCACTAATTAACCCTGATAAGGCACACCTGTGAAGTGGAAACCATTTCAGGTGACTACCTCTTGAAGCTCATGGAGAGAATGCCAAGAGTGTGCAAAGCAGTAATCAGAGCAAAGGGTGGCTATTTTGAAGAAACTAGAATATAAAACATGTTTTCAGTTATTTCACCTTTTTTTGTTAGGTACATAACTCCACATGTGTTCATTCATAGTTTTGATGCCTTCAGTGAGAATCTACAATGTAAATAGTCATGAAAATAAAGAAAACGCATTGAATGAGAAGGTGTGTCCAAACTTTTGGCCTGTACTGTATGGATTATAGAAAAGTGATTTGTCTTTTAATAAATGACAAAAGGCACATCTGCCTCATTTTCGCTGTGATGATACTACTCAGAACCATGATACTTTCACTGGTATCATACCGTGGGTCCCAATTTTGGTACCATGACAACACTACTACATAGTAGTGTCTACTTGATTTGTATCTGTGCTGTTCAGATTAATATGACAGGTACTTTTTGTTTTTTGATAGTGTATATTACACTAGTAGTTTAACACTGTCTTGGAATTTAATATTGACAATCAATTCAAAACCCTTACACTTGCATATTTGTTTTCAGGATGGGATTTTTCCTGTGAACAGGATTTCCTGCTTTTCTGACCTTATACTTACCTCAAGTTGCCTTTTGGGACGTACATGCATACATACGTACATATCATACTTGCCTGAAGAGAGGAGTTTATTACAGCCTCATATAAAATCAACAATAATGATAATAATAATATCAAAGCAAACAGAGCTCTGGTATCGGAATAGTATCGGTATTGGCAGATATCCAAATTCAGGTATTGGATCGGATCAGAAGTGAAAAAAATTTACGATCTGTGTGTAAATGTGTAATCTGTAAACATAAAACAACTTCCATGAGAAAAAAAAAAAAAAAGATTTTGGAAATTGAAAAAACAATTTTCAAATATAAAACAGATCTGTAAATACTTAAATATGGAAATAGATTTGTCTCAAAAATGATTTGTGTGAGAAGATTTACTGTGTGTGTGTAAATGTGTAGTCTCTAAACATAAAACAACTTCCATAAATACAAAAAAGGATTTTGTGAATTGAAATTTTTTTTTTTTTTTTTTCAAATATCAAAAAGATCTGCATATTCTAAAAAATGAAAATTACAGCATGTGCAACATCCAAATCCGCAAGTGTGGAATTGAAATTCAGAAATAAAAACACGATTCACAAATATCTGTTCAAAAGTTGTAAATGTTAGAAAGATATTCACAAATGCTTTTAATATATTTGTAAATTAAATGTATTCTCTGATTTTTTTTTTTTTTTTTTTTAAATTTGTGGATTTTCTGTCTTTTGGCAGAGCTTTTTTCAATTTTGCAAAATAGTTTCTTGAAGTGGCAGATCTCTTTGTTTGTATTTGTGGAAGATGTTTTATATTTACAGATTACACATTAACACACAGATTGCTGAACTGTTCACACAAATAACACTGAGAAAAATCTATCTCCATAAGTACTGATGTCAGTTTGAAGTCAACACCTCAGACTTGTGAAATAACTGAACTGAACTGAAGGTAACTAAGTGTACAGGGGTTTATTAATGTTGTCACGTGCTGCCTGCTTTAATGCCTGTGTATGAGGTAATATGTCACTGCTGAAGCAGCAGCTGTGTTTGTGGCAAGCTGACTACACTTCTGTGGTTGGTTGATGAAAGGGAAGATATGAGGAAGTGCTCAAGCTTCATGTTTGTCATATCTGTGTATAAGTCAGCTCTGACAGTGTCAACAACCTATTACATGTTACTACAGCTGGCAGATGATGTTGCCAAACCTGCCACTGAGCCACATACAAAATGCCTACCAGATGGATAATGTTATGTTGATGATTCTTACCTTTAGATATAGCCCAGACCTGTGAGGCAACAGAGAAGACCCTCTTTAGAGAAAAAAAACTTTTTATTCTTACTATAGAAGAAGAATTACTTTCATTAGAACAAGAAGAGGAAGATGTACTTTATTAATCCCTCAGGGGAAATTCAGTTTCTTCACTCTATTGTCATATACACACATGCCTGAGATACACACACATGCACAAACAGGACCTATACATGCATTAAATGGAGAGATGTCGGAGTGAGGAGCTGTTTTGGACAGGCACCCCAAGCAGTTGGGGTTTCAGTGCCTTGCTCAAGGACACCTTAGCAGTGTCCAGGAGGCAAACTGACACCTCTCCAGCTACCAGTCCACGCTCCATACTTGGTCCGTATAGGGACGTGAACCAACAACCCTCCTGTTCCCAAACCAAGTCCATAGGACTGAGCTACTGCTGCCCCAAATTTGTTTTTTTGGAGGGATCCAGTGTTTAGTCTATACTTTGTATCTTGGTCTGGCACTAAACAACTTTTCCTGAGAGGCTTTGTAATATATGAGTGAATGATTTATGTATTTATTTTTTTTCATTGTGTCAAGTAAACGGTTATGCCCAGCCCGCATGGGCTCACAAGACACCATAAAATCAAAAGCGAGAAACAGAGTCCAAGGTACGTATTTTCAGACAACATTAAAGAGAAAGAAAATGGAGCAAAGCAATAAAAGCATCATACATAATCAAATTATCATAGTGTAGTATGGAGTTCATGGATCACTCTTGAAGGGATTTACCATGAGAAAAGTCAAATTAAACTAATTAAACAAACCTTGCTTTCTTTCCCAGGCTTTTGTGACAAACTTGGTAAACATAAACAAACAAAAATTAAACAACCATTCTAGTTTTTGGTCATCTGAGCACCAGAGGATGTCAGAGTTTAGATGAGCCGTTTCATGGAACACTATCTCTCTTAAGTCATCATAGTTTGTACAATATAAAAGAAAAGGAGACTCATTTTCCACCTTACCCAAATTACACAACTCACATACTCTGTTTCCTCTTGATTGTCCCAACCTCAGTGGCCAGGGGAAGAACACCAGTTCTCAACTGTGCAACTGAAGATCTTTGGCTTCTAGTTAAACGATATGTTGTGTGTGGTTCAGGGTAGGGGTGCACGATATTCGAATTTTTGATGATATGCCGATAACAACTCATTTGACTGATAACCAATACCGATATTAATATATCCACTTTTTTCTTAGTCTTAGTGTTAAACAAGTCTCTTCTGTTGTGGAATTAACATTATATTATGCATGCATACTCTTGTTATGATGGCTCACCAGGAGATGCAGACATGAAATACAATACTTTACAATATATGTAATATTAATTAATTGTGCAAAATAAGAAAAAGCAGGTTGGCCAGCTTTGATTTAAAGGGATAGTGCATCCAAAAATGAAAATTCAGCCATTATCTACTCACCCATATGCCGAGGGAGGCTCAGGTGAAGTTTTAGAGTCCTCACATCCCTTGCAGAGATCCCAGGGGAGAGTGGGTAGCAACAAAACTCCACCTAATGCAGTCTGACGGCGCCCCAGATTCAAACGTCCAAAAACACATAATTGAAACCACAAGATATCTCCATACCGCTCGTCCGTAGTGATCCAAGTGTCCTGAAGCTCCGACATAAAATGTTGTTTGGAAAAACGTCATTTGAACTCTGCCTCTCTGTACACCGAGCATGTGTGCGCGCTTGCACACGAGACCAGTGAAAGCACGTGAACACACATGAAGGCGGTGCCAATGTCTCACGGTCTGGTGCAAGCGCACACACATGAGCGCGGTGTACAGAGAGGCAGTTAGAGCTACAGGCTACAATGTGGCTAAAAACAGAGTTCTGTGATTATTCAACCATTTTTCTGATTAAAAATGACAGTTGAGCAATATGCTGTCACCAGTCGTCCAATCACAGTGGAGCAGGGCCGGGACAAGTAAAGCATAGATCAGTCATCACAAAGGACAAATACAAGCACTGAACAACAACAGCTGTCGTTTTTCAGATGGGAAAAGAAACACTTTGGTGGACACAAGGCCTTGTTAGAGCAACACTAGCAACCATCCAACCAGTGAGAATTTGGTCGGACAAGAGCATATCGATCAACCAGTCGACCAGCTGACTAGAAGCCCTAATGGAAATCAGCTTCTGGAGATTTGAAACTTGCATGAGACAGATAATCCAGCAGACACAATCACTGTATGGATTACCCTGGTTTCAAGTCTCTACAGGTTGATTTTTGTAATGTGCTGAAGCGAGTTGGAACCAATGATTACCTGAAATTTAGTCACATTCATGACACACAGCAAGATTTGGAAAAATGTAGCTGTAATCTCAGCTGTGGTTGTAGTTAAGGACTTTACTGCACAAATAATGTTTTATGCTTGCTCTGGGATGGTCACTGATCAGACTTTACAACATATTTTCCTCCAGTCAGGTGATGAGTGTTGGGAGGCTTTAGCTGACAGAAGTATCATGGAGGACGACTGCAGGCCTCTGCTGAGCTCAGAGCAGACTGGAGAGAGCTACTCACACCGAGGATCCACAGACTCACTGGACTTCAAGGCTAAAAGGTAGAGTACACTGAAACTCTACATTGATCAATACGCAGTACTTCCCAATACTACGCCTGCATGCACATGACAGAGAAAGGCTGCACACAGGTCAATGTTGTTCAATAGATTACTTCAAAGAGTTCTATGCATTTAATGGCACTCTCAGAGTAGATGCAGAGCCATAATGAATAAGTGAATACCATGGAACAGAAAGCCACACACTAGATTATATTTCTTCATATTCATGATTTCTGGGTGTTCAACATGATAGGTGTCCACCTTGAAACTGTGCTGATTGTATAGATCTTCTTAGCTGTCGGGGGGACAATGGGTGGGTGTAAAGCATCCATGTTTTCACAGACATGGATGTGAACTCTAAGAGGAACCTGACCGGTGCGCCGAGGCATAAAATCACGGGGGAGTAATTCTAGTCTTTTTTCTTCTTCTTTTCTCGATCTCACCTACTCACCTGTAATGTTTAGTGACTGTCTCTTGCATGGTTGTTATGCTATCATGGTGACAAAATACATTTTGGTATTGAAAAATATGATTAACTATATCAAGTGGCTCTTACAATATGTACAATTATTTTTTTTCGGGCATTGTTTCTTACTTTTAGACTAGCTGACTAGTCTTAGTTTAAATCTCTGTTTAACTGTCAGGAGAATTAGTTTTCAGGAATATCCCTACTTTGTAAAGGCCTACACAGACAATAGATAGAAGCACCTATTCACTGTTGGTTTTAGTCTGCTTAACAGAGTTGTTGATGATTAATTATTAAATAAGGCCAGCCTAATAAACAAGCTTCTCCATGAGGGTTGCCTTATTTAATCCAGATCAAGCTATTTTGTGAAGATCTCCACATATTAACTGATACCTATCTACGCATATACTATATTTTTTCTCCTTTTTAAATTGAAAACATTTATTGTTTTTCACATTTTCAACAGTAATGACCAATATCTCTGTTTTCTTGTTGTGCAGTTCATTTGTATTAACAATTAAAATCTGTTAATCATGTTTCTTTACAGAATGACTCAATCAAGCACAAAAAACCCTGCATTTTGCTCATATAATGTTTTGTTGAGCTGCATTGTAGTTGATCTTTAATTCGTGTGTGTGCCAGTACAGTAGCTTTTATGCAAAGGTTATATCGAGCATAGACCCTGGGTGTCTGAGCTGGCCTGGATCCTGCCTGTGTCTTCTTTTCTGACATGGTATGTTAGATAATAAGCAAGGGCAAGGTGCTTTTTTACAAGTTAAGCTTCCTGGAATTCGCTTGACAAGCGAATACTAAGACGACTAAGGCGTGTGTGTGTGTGTGTTTGTGTGTGTGTGTGTGTGTGTGTGTGTGTGGGTGGCACATATAAGAACTTTGTGTGAGTTTTAATCCAGTTAGGTATTTCACAGTGACCAACTAGCTTTCTAGCACATAAAGCATTACAAACACTCCCTTCCAGCAAGTCACATAGACGTGTATGTTTGTTTGAGTATGTATGAATTCCGTCAGTCAAACCATGTTTAAGGTTCAAAACAAAACAAAGTTTGTATTTCAGCTCTGTTAAATTTAAATTTAGGGTTGCATCTGACAGTTTTAATTTTCAGGCTCTCAATTAATTTTCTAATCAGTTGCATGTTCAAAAAATGTCTGAAAATAGTAAAAAATGACCATCACTAGTTGCCTGATCCCAAGGTGTTAAAAATAGATTGGTTATTTTGTCCAACCGACTTTTAAAACCTAAAGATATTCAGTTTAGAATGATATGAAATAGAGAAGAGCAGCCAATCCTCACACTGGAGAAGTTGGAATCAGAGAATGTATGGCACTTTGGCATGACTTTAAACTTTAATGGATTGTGAAAATGAGTTGAATATTGCTACATATTACATGATTTTTTTTGTCTGCTTCTTCCAGACCTTTCCATGTAGAGCCCAGGAATATTGTAGCTGATGAGCCACAGGAGAGAGTCTCTGCTGAGGCTGCCATCCTCAACAGCAGAGTCCATTACTACGGCAGACTAACAGGCTCCTCTGACAGACTGCTAGTAGGTCACATCACTACTTAGTTATTTTTTGTAGCCATGGACACATTATCATGACTGTGGCACAGATGAACTACACTAGACACACAGTAGCAAGGGGCCAAATGGCCCAAACACACACCGTGTATTGGAAATGTTGTAGTCAGTGTATTTTGATTATTTTGGTATGTTGCATTAACCACATTTTTGTATGTATATGTATATGTATGTATACCATGTACCGTAAAACTTCAATTAGTAGCCCAGGCTATTATTTGCTTAAATCGCTAAACTTAGCAGGCCTATATTTGGGACAGGCATTTATATGGGACAGGCCTTTAATTCCTTTTTCACAAAACTGTTTCTCAGCAAAGATGGGAAACACGATCACATTGTTTATTTGAACCAGTATGAATATTACTTGTATAAAAACTAGGCTTCAAATAACATATCAATTATGAGTCATTTATTTGATCTAGCTCTGACAGACAGGGCATCAGAGAGTTATGACACTTGTTTTATGGCAACCGGCATACCAACACAGCATCACTTTATCCTGATAAAATGATATTCATAACTTGGATTAATTTTATGAAAGACCCTTTTGATTCTTTTGATAAGTGGACCCTTACAGACTAATGGAATATGAATAATTTACAGGGTAATTAAAGAATGGACACATTCTGATTTCCCACCCGATGACCCCAAAGACATGTTGGTTATCACTGCTCACTGGTCTGTATAGTTAAGCCTTGCCATATTAGCTTATCATAGGGCTTAGGAGGTTATTCACTGAGTGTTGATCCTTTCTCTAGAGCACAAACTTCTTGTGTTTATTTGAATGACAGCTTCAGAGGTAGGGAGTCACCACTTGTTCTTTGGTCATGGCGATGAATCTGAATGAATTATTCTTTGGTGCTCATGGTTGCAGTAAAATTAACGGAACGATTGAAGTAGGGAAAATCAAACTGAGCTAATGCTATGTAGCATCTCCAAACTAACCAAAGTTTAAACATGCATATTTCTATGTGCGATTTAAGCACCTAACTAACATTAGCTCAAGTGGGTAGCCAACAACCTGTTTTATACATCCAAAGAACTAATATAAAAATGAACTGCTTGGTAACCAGACCAGGCATTCAACTGAGACAGGCCTTTCTTTGTCAAAATGTGTAGCCACAGTGGGATAGGAAAAGGAACTGGGCATTTAATCGGGACAAGGCTTTTAATTAAAGTTTTATAGTATATCATACAATATTTCTCTCAAATGTACAATCAAATGTAGTACATAGCCACAGCTAAATAGCACAAAACAACAGTGAAAATCATCTTTCTTTTGACTTTCTGTTAAAGAGAAGTCACCAAATACCAACTCCTTGACAGTTCATATCAATAAGACAGGTTCATAAGCACTTTCATGGCCATAAGCATGTTCAGGCGTTAGGGTTGGACTGTTGTAAAATATTTGTAACTGGTGTGATACTAAGAGCCAGACCGGATCGGTAAACTGAATTTTATATGCTTGACTCAGCAGACGCTCTTGTGTGGAACACAATGACACAATGTCCCAACAGCAAATGAGCATACGACTGTTAGAAGTTGCATCACTCAACATCGGAGCTCTCTGTCCACAATGATCGGCCTATATATTGATTTTGGAAATTTCTTACTTCTTACCCAATATAGGAATTGGCACCTGCCCCAAAAATCCAGTAATGGTTGGGCTCTACTCTAAAGACAATATAAATGTCAGGAAATGTTGACTGTATTCCACAACTCTCCACAAATTGCGAATGATTCAGATTGCCACCTCGGAACTACACCTGTGTTCAAAGAAGAACTCACATTAAATTAAAAATGGTGCCATTTACTATAGCCTGTATGTACTCAAAAATGCAAAACCATCTCTGTCATGATTTTCTTTTCTTTTCTTTTTTTTGGTTAAATAGCAGTCTATAACAAAATTATATGCCTATTCTACATGAACTAGAAAAAACACGAATAAACTGTATATATAAAAACTATTCAATTAAATGAATAATTTATTATTTTCTTTGGGTTTTTTTTTTTTGACAATAACAGGTATGCAGTAGTGTTTCATTGGCTAACTTGTATGTACTTGTATGTAATGTCAAGTCTCTATTTGATCATGTGACAAGACCAACGGTAGCTAGTTTAGGTGCAAAATCTGAAAAGATTGACAAGCTGTGCACATCTGCAAGGCCAGTGAGCAGTCATGCCTTTTAAACATAAGTAAGAAAGGACCGTAAGAAAGGATAAGAGAGATACGGACAGGAGGAATAAGTAGCAACAAATAGTAAGTAAAAAGCAGCAAAAGTAGAAGATAAAAAACAAATACCTAAATAGAAATGTTATCTCTTTTACATGAGTCTGAGCTGGGGCCTATTGCACAAAACTAGGATAAGGGATTAAGCCGGGATATCTTGGTTATCCTGGCTCAACTTATCCGTGATCCGGTTGCACAAAAGCGGGATAGTGGAAAGCGGGATATGTTATGACATAAGTGACCATGGAGATTTATTCTGTGAAACTGGCCTGCTCCAGACTAGACTAAGTTCCAGGATCTATTATTATCTATTATTCAGTCTCATCCCTTATCTCAGTCAGCAGTCACCACAAACGGAAACCAATAGTTATTCCACTGCCCACTGCACATTGTTATCACATTCAGCCAGACCCACTGTCATTTTTTAAACATTTGTGATCATTAATTGCAATCATTTTAGATAAATGATGATTTTAGATGATTTTGCAATCATTAGATAATTTACAGTTTCCCATAGAATATATATAAAATACACATCCCATATAAATATAAATACACAAAGAGTAATATGATGTTCCGTTATTGAATAAGGATAAATCAAAGCAAGTAAACCATCAGCTCCTTTCAAAACTGATATTTTCAAGTCACACAGTGACTCTACAAGATAGAAAGCAGGGAATCAAAGCATATTATACAACACAAGAATAAATACACATTCAAAGGTCTGTATGTGATACACCCCGCATGTCTGCACACTGAAAGAAATGCAGGACAAATCCATACACAACAAATGAACAGACAAATAAATGAATGCAGTAGCCTCCCTGCAAGCTTGTATACAGACAGTATACAGCACAAACAACATAAGAGGCCAAATCAATTTAAATTGAATAAAAAAACCACACACAAATTCCTCTGCCAATGCAGGCCATATTTAACTGAAATTCACAGCATGCATCTCTGCCACTGCAGGACATATTTAACTTAAATTTAAAAACATGCATGTTAATTAAAATAATTTAACATATATTGGTCCCTGACCAGCCGACCACTGTCGTCATCAGGGAAGATGGCAGGATTGTCCCAGTCCATGTGTGATGGCACTCTGGGGGCCCTCTCCTTCCTCAGGCAGGCCACATTGTGGAGGACAGCACAGGCCACAGTGATGTCACATGCCCTCAAAGGGCTGACCCTTAAGTGGTTAAGACAGTGAAAGTGTGCCTTCAGGAAGCCAAAGGTCATTTCGATCCTGGCCCTTGTCCTGGCATGGGCATGATTATAGGCCTGCTGTGCTTCCTGAGGGTCTGTATGGTGTGAGGAGAAAAGGCTGGCAGGCATACCCCCTGTCCCCCAGCAACACACCAGAGAATTCACTTGTCAATACAAAATCTCATCATCACATCCTCATAAATAGAGTGACATTCTTGACACAGCCATGATGTTAAAAAGTGGTTATTAATAGAGGCTGTGTGGCTCACCTTGTGATAGGCGCTGATAGATTCCAGAGGTCCGAAAGACTCGGTCTAGTCAGCACCGCAGACCATCTGAAATTATAAGATGAAGACTATTAAACCAATCAATGCACATAACAAGCAATGCACAGTGTTAATCGACAATATCAAAAAGTCATGTTCACCTGAACATTAATGCTGTGAAAGGATTTCCTATTCACAAAATCTGGGGATCATATANCCGGGACACATCGACACATTTTCATCCTGGCGTGTGTCCCATTCAGCCCCATTCCTGAATCATACCTCATTGTTACCCCCCCATATCCACACATACACACATACACACGCACGCACACACAAAATTGCATACATATAATGAAACAGCAGAGGAGCATGGAGCATGAGGAGCAAAGATAAGATAAGATAAGATAAGATAAGAGGAACTTTATTTATCCCAAAGGGAAATTCAATTAAGTCAGTGAGCTCATCTATTTATCAAAGTCTGATGGAATTACATTTACACAATTTCACTCACATCTGCAGCCAATTTCAGTTACAATTTCAACTGATTCATAATCAGAGTACAACTACGTTTTCGGAGATGTTAATTATTAATTATTTGGATTGTAATTGTGATGGTTTCAGCGGAGCAGTGAGTGTGTATTTGTGCACTACTTACGCATTCAGGCGGTCTGCAGTACTTTGCCACGCTTTCTCTAGTTGTTTTATTACTGTGGCGGTGTTGCCTTTCTTTTTGATTTGATCCTTTACCTCCTCGTAAGCCTCCGTGAGGATTTCTGCCTCCGACGGGGAAAAGTACGCCGCTCTTGTTGCCATGGTGAATCGGTGAATCTGTGATCGATGGCGGGGACTATTTGAGGAAGCCGCGTGCGCGCACTGATCCAGGATTGGTTTCACCTGGCTTGATGAATCCGTGTCTGCTCATCCTGGCTTGGTCTTTGTGCAACCAATTAAGCCTGGACGCTCTTGTTTTGGATTCACTGAACCCAGTTCAGTCATTTATCCTGGATGTCTGAATCCTTCTTTTGTGCAACGGGCCCCCGGTGAAGGCCCTGAGCATACCCACAGCACCCTCTGCAGGAATTGCCTAGGAAGTTTTTACAATAACACTGAGAGGTTTTGTCATTTAGTACTCCTCTTAGAAAGGGAGGTCTGTTTTTTTTGCAAGTAATGTTTTGCCACGCAGGTTGCCATAGTTTTGCAAGGTTTCCAAATATAATGGGAATAAAACTTACATGAAAAAAAACGCACTGCCCAGAACTATAAAAATCTTTGTCCATGGTATAATGAAAATACACCCCAAAGCCACTTTGTTATTTAAAAATAAACCTCCAAGTTACTATTTTTTAGTACATACATGGGTTGAAGTTTTGTATATTATGATCTCATGAGACCTCTATCAGGTCAATGGCTGTTGAGTGTTGAAGATTAATTTGTATGTCGTGGTAATGTGCTCCCAATGATATGTTTTTTTGTATCTGTTACAAATAAATATAATACCACTGTAACACAAACATAATTCCTTTATTAATGCCCCTTTAAAGGCTCATGTTATGTACCTGTAAGGACTTCATGTTTTGTATCTGGCTATTGTTTCGTTCAGAGTCCTCCAGACCATGTGATCCCCCGACCAGAGGAGATCTACATCTACAGTCCACTGGGGACAGCTTTCAAGGTTACAAGCAGTGACCACTCTTCTAAAAACCCAAGTATCATCACCATGTAAGCCCTGCCAGCATCAGTCAGCAAATCAGCCTGAGCTAAATGTTGCATTTATATTTGTGACTGTCTTTGACTGCTTTGATGGTAACCTTGCTTTTCCCCGCTCACAGATTTGCGATATGGAACACAATGATGGGTACATCTATACTCAGCATACCCTGGGGTATAAAGCAGGTGATTTGCCTTATTACACATACTTCAAGTCCTTGGCTCCTGCAAAGCTGCATCTAAAAGGACTAGTTTTGTACTGACCTCAGTTAATCTTGAAATGCAGACTTGCAGCATGTTTGCTCATTAAATTTGCCTAACAGGACAAAAACTAAAATCTAAATAGTCAGTGTTGTCTTTGTCCATTTAGGCTGGTTTCACCCTGGGAATCTTCATCCTCATCTTCACAGGCCTGCTGATGCTCTACTGTTGTTACATTGTCCTCAAATCACCAAAGGCAATACGTAAGTCCAGCAACACTATTCTGCTGATAGTAGCTAAAAAGTTAGCACATTTGATGATAACACTTTTTTTTTCAAATGTAAGAAACTGGAATTATCCTTTAATGTGAAAATCCATTATTTTATGTTTAATACAAGTCAACTTGTTTCAATAATTTCATAGAATTAAGTGTAATTTTGTAGATATTGGTACAGCAGTCTCCCCTGATCATTATTATTATCTTATCTTACTACTGTATATAATGACGAAAACTCTGTCTGTGGATGTGTCTGTGGGTCTGTGGGTGTGTCTGTTCCACATTTTTCTCCTCACTGACTTGGTCAATCCATGTGAAATTTGGCACAGTGGTAGAGGGTCATGGGAGGATGCCAATGAAGCAATATTACATCAATTGGCCAAAGGGGGCGCTATAGCAACCGATTGAATTTGCAAACTTTGAATGGACATATCTCATGCCCTGTATGTCGTACAGACATGAAACTTTGCACAGAGATGCCTCTCCTCATGAGGAACAAATGCCTCAAGAACCCGTAACTTACGGTTATATACAGTCAGGTCCATAATTATTTGGACAATGATACAGTTGTCATCATTTTGGCTCTGTACACCACCACAATGGGTTTTAAATGAAACAATGAATACCTGCTTAAAGTGCAGACTCTCAGCTTTCATTTAAGGCTTTTGTTCAAAAATGTAGTATGAACCGTGTAGGAATGACAACCATTTCTTCACATAGTCCCCTGACTTTAAGGGCTCATAAGTATTTGGACAAACTAACATAATCATCAATTAAACAGTCAGTTTTAATACTTGGTTGCAAATCCTTTACAGTCAATGACTGCCTGAAGTGTTGGACACATAGGCATCATCAGATGCTGGGTTTCTTCCCTGGTGATGCTCTGCCAGCCCTTTACTGCAGCCGTCTGCACTTCCTGCTTGTGTTTTGGGTGTTTTGCCCTCAGTTTTGGCTTCAGCAAGAGAAACG